CATTACTTTTTGAGGCACAGGTCAAAACTACAGTTATTTTTTTGTTGAACTACCTTGATGCAGATTGAAATTTTTTTTTAGTGCACTTGCTTCTAGATCACTTTTTTCCTAATGCTTTTCAGGTATTTCTTTGTCATATTGCATATAGTCTGATTATAATATAAATCTAGACAGCACTTACGGAGGTGTTGTTGGAGCAAGAAATAATTATTGCATGCTAAATTCACAGACTGGTGGAACATGAGAAGCTGGGGGAAATGGAAAACATTCTCAGATTTCACTTGAGCAGCACTTCCTTCCTGTATTTTCTTTTTTTTTTTTTCCAATATGTTTAAAAATATGGAGGCTACAGTGTATCAATATAATGAAGCTAATTTGATCCCAGGTCATTAAACCTCATGAGGGTGTAGCATAATTCAAAGAGTGCTATTGAAGACGATGTTCRTTTTGGAAAGAAGCTGGCTCCATGTCACACGAGCTTGGAAGGTGTGCAGAGCCAGCTCGTATATGTTTCCTGAATCCCTCTGTCCAATTTGTTCTAGAACCAGAGTTTCTGAAGAACAATGCTTTCTTCTCAATTTAATTTTTTTTTCTATATAATTGAATTTATTAGAGTCCCGTTTTATGTATTCAGTAGAGATGGCATAAAGATAACTGAAGGTGATATTTAAGTTGTGCTTGGCTTCAAAGTCGAATCAGGGATATGGTTTAAATATAAACATCCAAATCTCAACATCTTCTTGTATCTTATTTTGTATTCTTGTAGTGGAAATCCATTATGAGATCATGTGTAATTGCAGATTTCTTCTCATATCCAGACAGGTGCTAGGAAATTGAGCTGTTTCGGGTTGAGGTCTGACTTGAAATAAAACCAGGTGAGCCAAGTTCAGATTTGAGACCTTCACTGGACCTAGAGATGCTTACAATGTAAAGATGAAGATTCAAGCAAGTTTGCTTGAAATTGGGTTTTTTCTGTTTTAAAAAAACTAAAATTGGAAGCCATTAATAAAGAACAAAGCATTTGTAAACTTATTATTCTTATATATGGAATACAAAATGTCGCATTGTGCAAGAGTTGCTTCTGTTCCAAAGCACATCAGTATTAATTTGGTTAAATTTTTTGAGAAACATAGATTGATTGATTTATGTACTGCTTACTGATACACAAACAATTACATATCTGGTGTAAGTGTTGTATGACAGTAGTTTTAATCACTTGAATGTCCCAGCATGAAATATCTGCATAAATGTTCTAGCACATTTCAAAGAGAAATGTGTTCTGTTTTCAAACTGCTTTGCTGTTGGTTGTATTTGCAAAGGTGAAAATATTTGTTACTGTACAGGCTTTGTMGGTGTTGTGTACTTTTCCTACTGGAGTTCAATGATTTTGTCTTGTGTAAGTGTTCTATTTGATTTGTCACTGTTGTTTTCAATATTTGCAGCAGGGATTTCCTTTGGTATAAAATAGACTTTATTAGACTTTCCTCTCTAAGTGCTGGAAAACTTGTCTTCTGTCAAAAGACAGATAGGCTTTTCATGTTTGTTCTGGCTTAATTCTTTATTTTCTGTATTTATTTATGTCCACTCTTTTTCCACATGATTTAAAGCTAGCAATAGATTTTTTCTCCTTGTTTTTCCTATCTTCCTGCCACAAGTCTGTTGATTCAGCTGTGTGAGTCTGAAGGATTATTCGTTTTCGGGAGTTGTCAATAAATGGAGTTGAGGTGGTGTTGAATAACACTGTTTCCTTTTCCACTAAAAGACAAACAGAATGTCTTCTAATGCCCTTGTGTGTTGGGCTGTGTCTCATGAATCTTTATGGCGGTGGTTGGAATGTGAGTGTTAGTGGTTTCCAAACAGTTAGAGGAGATATAAAGTAGGTGGTTACTAGCCCTGGTGTTTCATACCAAATGCTCCACAAAGAAAAATGAAATGCCAATTTCATAAGACTGCATTTAGTACGTATTTGATTTAATTCTTTGAGTTTGCTGTTGCTGTTCTACGTTGCTTTGATAGTGACTTAACAGTGGATATCAGTGCAAAATACCTGTTAATTTCCATTGCCTCGCCTTATTTAATCTTCTGTCTCAATATTCTCAAGGAATTGCAATCTGCTTAATATATTTAATGGTTTGTCTGTATTTTACTGGTGGTGTTATAATGACGGGTTAAAATGACTCCTAGAGTATGCGTATTTTTTTTGCTTTGACTGATATGTCCTGCACTGGTGTGATGATGTGGGCAGCTGAGCTTTGGTGTTTGTAGTTCTCCAGGGTATCCACASCTGAATCAGTGTTGTGATCTGCAGCAGCTGTTATCTGAAGTAATTGTGCCAACTGTACCAATRTAAAGAGCAGAAGTAAAACATAATTTAGTTGTTCAGAAATGTAGTCACAACAGAGTGCCAATATCATAGTTTCATATAAATGAGGAGAATTGCTGTGGGAAAAATTGGGAAGGATGAGAGATGTTGCCATGTAGGTGCCTAATTAATCAACCCAGGTAGTCCATTCAAATTTTAGTAGTTTAAAATTCTACCAAGATCCAGTAGAACATGCTGTTTCCCTCTAGTTAAAACAATTTTCTTGTTAGTGGGGAAAAAAACCACTAACCGGAATTTTTTTATATTCCTGTTGTGAGAATTTTAGGGCCATATGTAGGTTGACTCTCTGCAGCTAGAGGAGTCTGTAATTTGTGGATGAAACTCTTAGAGAATTTCTRTATTTTCAGTATCCATTATTCTCAAAAAAGGCCAGAAAATAAAATAAAGAGTCCAAAAATTCACATTTCATTCCTGTTTGCCTGCTAGGAAAGTATTTTTAAAACCCAACAAACTGATCAATGTTTTCTTTTTAAAAAATTATTTGGGTTTTTTTTTTTTCCAGTCTTATCCATTGAGTCTAAAGTCTGTCGACAGTGGAGCTAGTTTAGGCATTGTGATTCTTTTTCTCTGCAATCACACAAAAATTCATAGATAAGTCCATGTCATATGAACCTGCTTTGTTAATGACAGGAATTTGAACAACTAGAAGTTTGCTCTAATGATACAATTTTATAACACAGAAAAGTCTAAATAAATTAGCWTTTAAAGCTAATTATGAAGCAGTTTTCTTGTGTTCCTATTAATCTTGTTACTTTGTTTATTCCCTAAACTCTTTAAAGTAAGGAAGCGTAACTGAAGGATGTCAAAGTACATCTCCATTTGTAACACTCTGTTGGTTTGCCTAGTGCATTTTGTCCAAGCAGCACGACTCAATCAATACCTTCCTTGCCTGGAAGAGACAAGGGAGTCTCTATGGTGAGCCAGCCTCCATGTGCACTTGAAAATATTCCAAGATTATTCCTGTGTTTAATTGAATTCTATGCTTCTGAGGCTGGAGGGAACAAGATCAGTTACTGTTGTCAAATTTTGAATGTTATCTGTGTATTTAGGGTTCGTACCTGATTGGGATTTTGATAAAAAGAAAGTCATCCTGGTTGACATAGTCAGGTCTGGGGAAACACCTGCTGTACCCTGACTGTCAACCAAGATTCCTGTTATGCTCTKTGCAGGCACTTGGCTCCCTTACATAGTAAAGCTAAGGTCTGCTTTATTCTTAAAACACAGGTTCACTTTCTTTACAAATAATAGTAATTTTCTCCAGTTTTACAACTTTATGTTTTCTACACAGAATGACTTTGAGGAAGTTTGCTACTGTGATCAGTAATTGATCTGTGAATTAATATTAATTAGGCAGTAGCATATAATTCTTTGTTACATGTCAGGTTTATTAAAACAATTTCTAAATGAAATTTGGAGGTTGAACATTAGTACAGTAAATAGCTATAAGGGTTTTTTTTATTGTTTTAAAAGAAAACCTCAGTATTGAAAACTGTATCTTCTCAATTTGATCTGATGAAGAGCACAAGCCGAAATGATGCTGTTGGTGCCTGGCCATAAATACAATTATRCTGTGTAAGTGAAAGATAGTTTCATACCACAGACCAAGAATATTGCTTAAGATTTGTAATTCTGATATTCTTAACTAAAATGAGTTAAATTCATGTAAAGCCTTCTGCAGTGTGGGTAACCCATCTTGTGAGGTAATTRGTATTTGATTTAGGTAGTTTTCTGGTTGCTTGTTCAGCATTTATTGAAAAGTGTACAGTAGTCCTTTTGAGATTTTTCAGAATTTATAGCAAGAACTGTTGAAACTGTTTTCTGAACTCTTCAGAAAATGCAGAGTTAGACTGAATCAAGCTTAGTGTTTTTTTAAGGAAGATGAAGCCCCCAGGGTGATACAGCAGGTGAATAGGTCACAATGTTCAAGAGCAGCTCTATTTGATTTGCAATTGGAGAGTAGAAGTGTAAGTTATGCCACCAGGAATGAAACCCAGAGTAGCTTTGTTCCATAGTATTTGAATTTTGAGAGGGTTTTTTTTTTTTTTTTGCGTTATTAGTAAAAAGATACAAAACTAAAAGCTTGGTATCCTGTACATCCATTGTTAGAATTAGAAACAGTTATAATGAAATGGAATTAGTTTTTGGCTTTTGAAGAAAAGCCTGACTCATCTGTTGTGCTTGTCCTGGCTGTATGAAATTATTCACAGTGTTGAAAATTTGTTGGTAAAAGCATTACTATTGTTATTATTATGATTTAAAGCCTCCATGAGCACATATCAGCACTAACAGACCATTTCTGAAACACAAGGTCCTTAATTTTT